TGTTCGACTGTAACCGCAGACCAGAAAGGAATCCAAAATACTGGGTTTATATGCTTTTAGGGGTAGTAATATTCTCTTCCTAGTAAACTTCTAGGTCTACTTTGCTTTCTAGTCGGCTTTGCTTGACCTTCTTTTGTCATATGTTTGTCTAGCCTTCTCAGGGACCACAGCCCTCTCCGGCCATGGACCGGACTCGAAGCAATTACCTCCTCTTCCCCATGGGTTGCCTCTTAATAATATCTGGCGTCTTCTTATTTCTGCACGGCTTTCTCCTCACAAGATCAGAACTTAACACCGTAGCAGCAACCACCCCGGATGCCGTAAACCCACCAGAATTCAACCGTTTTGTCCTCCTACTCGTGGATGGACTCTTCTTCGGCCTCCTGCCCAACTCTTCTCAACAACCAACCCAGAATGACAGGATGCCCTACTTGACGCGTCTTTTGCACAGGTCACACCAGACCGCAGTGCCGACACTCCAGCTCTACCACTTTATGGCCGATCCACCAACCACAACACTGCAGCGTCTGAAGGCCCTAGTCACGGGCAGTATGCCGACTTTCATTGACGCGGGCTCCAACTTTGGTGGCACTGAACTTCAGGAGGATAACCTGGTGAAGCAGTGGTCGAGGGCCGGCCAAAAGATCTGCTTTGTTGGCGACCAGGTCTGGACGGAACTAATGCCAACTGGGTGGGTATAAAGGCTTTGTCTTAATTTGGTTGGTACCTTTTGATTATCGGGCTTAGACTTTCAGATAACCCTCTCTAGTCATGGCATATTTTACCCTGAGCTCTGACGGATGAAGAGGGACCAACTCTATTCTGAGAGGTGCCCTTTTCATTACAGCCAGACAGACTGTCATTCACTGTGACGAAAAGGGCACTTCTCAGGACAGAGCAGGTTTCTTGTTTCATTGCAAATAACCGTCTGTTTAGGCTCGGCACAATTCGTCAGGAAGTGGAAGTTGTTCTTGGACCTTCGGTATTAGGCCTTTGTCGTTGACGAAGAACGTTGATTGGCTTGTGCAGCTCTGCTGCCGGGGATCGTCATGCGTGGATAGGTTCAATCCGCGACACTATCCGAACCGGTTAGATCAGGCATAATCGCAGCCGTTCTAAGTATAAGTTGGTAAAAAAGTAAGTACAGTCTGCTTGGTTGAAGACCACGGGCCGTCTTTCACGTTTTCAACTGAACTGTGCCTCAGGAGGGAGAGAATGTGATTAAAAATCATCCAACTGAGACTTGGCTTGCACTTGTAGCTGGACCACAAATTGTCTTCATTGGGTAATTCCAAGAGAAAAAACGAAAACGGAGTGGCCGCCCTCTGCTGCAGAATACGTTTCTTTTTGATTTTTACCCATTTTCATCCAAGGTATACTTATTTGAAAAGTAATTTTTTTTAAATTACAGGTTCAATGAAAGTTTCCCGCTGCCGTCGTTCAACATCAAGGATCTGGACACAGTTGACAGAGCCGTGCGCGAGTACTTTGTCAAACAACTGTCTACCTTTAATTCTTCCGAGTGCAGCATTCTCATCGGTCATATGCTGGGAGTGGACCACTGCGGCCATACCTACGGTAGGCAGCACCCAGAGATGGATCGGAAGCTGCAGGAACTGGATGATCTTTTACGGTGAGTATAATTTTTTATTCACAAGGAAGGTTCTTGGCAGAGGTAGTTACTGACTAAGGTGTTGATTGGTCTTCTCGTCAATACTGACTAAAATAGACATAGGGAGCGATTTTTTGAGATTTAAATTTCACCGCAAACAGACGAGAAACTTAAATTAATCGTCCTGGGAAACCTGTCATGATGCGGGAGACAGTTGTGATCTCCAAAAAATGAAGTTTACGTTCGCTCCTCTTCCCACCCCTACCATCATCAACAACTACAAAAACCTACCGTAGAAACCGCTAATGTCACGTTTTCTCTGATAGTCAATCCTTTACTAAGTCTTCGTGCCCATCCAATCTGTCGCAGTACTATCGCAGATGTTGTAAATCTCCGCATGTCTAATCGGTATAGTACAGTAGACAGCTTGTCTTAGGAAATGTTAAGCAAAATTAAGAAATGCGTTTTCGATATGAAAGGTACTACTGAAGTATGCTTTTACTATTTATTATTGTGCAGCCTAATATCAACCATTTCAGTGACTTCAGGATACTGGTTTTTATACGAGGTTTTTTCTGCCCACTTGTAAAAGCAGCTCTGTAAAAAAACTTTCACTTAAGTAGTGTATATTTTATTGCTTTATTAAGCACTTCTAAGTCTAAGTATATTTTATAGAAAACAAAACAAACAACCCAGTACTCTTTAGGTACCAATATACGTCTTCGTCGAATTTTTACTCAAGGAAAGTGTATTTTTCGGTTTAAAAACGTTTCCAATTGTCAAAGAGTTTTGGCCCCGACCTGTCGTTACACATGCAGTTAGGGTTTCCAAACTTTACACTGTATACATTCCATCTAGGAAAGATCACCCATTTCTCTAAGCGATGAGGAAGAAAATACAAAGTGCTAATACATTTTTTGAAGGAAGCTCCTTCATAAGCCGGCATCCTGCAGTGAGTAAAGTTTCTTGGGATTACGCTGCAGAGTAATAAATATTAGGCGTTTTTTCGAATCAACAACACATTTCAGAATCGCAGAGAGGAGTAACGACAGAAAACGCGAGTAGGTTGATACAGTCAGCTTTGGGGGCTTATTCGACCTTCATTCAGTCGATCATAACCCTGACTTCCAACTCGTACCGGAAACACAATAATGTGCTCGAGTACTGCGCAGACATTCCTCCCCCTACACACACACTTGGTCTAGCAGATGGGTCATAAGCACTTAATTGAACCGAAGTTCATCAATGCCTCGCTGCCTGTAATTCTCTATCACTGCAGATTGGGTATTTATTCAAACAGGAATGGCCGCACATCGATCCAATTGGTCTCTCGAAGCAAACAAGCTCCGTATGTGTGACAAAGATCACACCCAGGCAACCAACTACCATGCCGAAGTTGGCCAAGTTATAATTGCAGAGAGGAGGGACGACAGAAGCATGCAAGGAGATTGATGTAGTCCGCTTTGGAGCTTAATCTGCCTTAATTCATCCAATCATAACACTGACTATCATTTGAAACTGGATGCAAAACCATGCGCTCGAGTACGCTCGAGGGGTGGGTCTAGCACTTCAGTGAACAGGAGTTCATCAATGCCTCGCCCCTGTGTTATCCTCTGTCGCTACAGTGGACAAATACCTGGTTACAAGCTAATTCACACCCCAAAACGCCGGTGCTGTGCTCTCTTCGTGGTCACCTCTCAGAAGTTATCGCTTGCTATGATCTAGGTGCCCTATGTAGGTTGAATAATTGGGCCATATGTAAAATTGGATGAAATGGTTCTGATCCTATTTTTCATGCATACCGGAGATCCACAGTGCATGTAAGCGACTTGCTGGAGTGCCTGTTTGGTTAAATTCAATTTTTTTATTAAAGAGTTTGCTCTTGAGTCCACAAAACATTAAGGAGAGGAACAGCATTCGGTCAGATTGACATTTCATGCGAAAGGCAATCTACTCCATGCATCAGTTAAAATTCCATCAATAAATTAAATGGAAAAAGGCAGACTAAATAGTCTTTTCTCAGTCACTCCATATGTACAGTCCGTGACTGACCTCATGCAAATTTGTCAAAAAAATTAAAATGCGTTTTAGATTAGGGAGGATTTCTTAAGTTGGATTGTACCATTCCTTATCTTGGAGTATACTCCCAAAATAGTGAAGACGCACCAAGATGCCGGCTTCCGAGCGAACGGCTTTTCTGCCTCCTTAAGGAACTTCGCTCGACAGAAAATGACCGCTGAACTAGTAGTTTGCCTTTCTTCTATATATTTTCGATGCCCATACAAATTAAAATTGAATTATTGAAACGTGACAAACCCCTGAAAACCAAGGTTAACCTAGTAGTCCATCCTATGGATCCTAGATGACTACTTAGGAAATCCTGCCAGGCAGTCAGCTTACTGTGTCCGTATTGGTGGGTTCTATAAGTGCAGTAAATTTGAACAAACAAATCGATCCAAGTGTGATTAAATTGACGGCGCGCGGTGAGCCTCGTAGCTCAATGATAGAACGTCGGCTACGCAAAAGCCTTCCCTGCTGTGTAGGTCCGAATACCACCGAGACCGCGAATTTTTTACAATAAGGTTAATCGAAATTTAAATGTATGCTATAGAAAACTTGAGAAGACATATTATTTACTGTATTCATTTGATAGCAAAGCACGCCGTCTTCAGGTAGTATACTCGAAGAAAGACTATATTTTAATTTAAAAAATGCTTCGAATTGTACCTGCTCGTTTATTTATAACTGCACAA